TTACGTATTGCTGAAATGGTATAACTTTTCTTAAAAGACAGTAAAACATTTGATTATAGCTCCTTATGGAAGTCTTAGGTGTTCTCAGTCTCTGAAGACACTATATGGTGTTGTTCCCTAATGAAACTGTCAATAAGAGCCTTTTCAATTTACCTTATTATCAACTCATGCTAAAGAAATAAAGGATTCAAGACCCCTTCATTACTGCACTTAAAAGCTTCATATGTACAGTTCTGTAACAAGACCTTGCCAACCAAAGCGGATTTCCATCCGTGATTTACGGCATCCAAAAGCCTTTTACTCTGTATACTGGTATCATTTCACCAACCATGCAATTGAATTTCAAGTAACTGCGATTACTAGCCGTCTTTATCCCTCTGCAGTCTAATGCATTCCACATAAATGAGGAATGAATAAAATACCCTGTAATTCTAATAAATAAAAGAAAAGAAAAGATACTGCATTTTCATTTGGCAATTGTTTCACGAAGGACATGGGAAACAGGAGCGTGCACCCCCACACCTCTCCCCCTCCACACGATTGTGGGCTAACTCCCAAGGATGTAACAAATGTTTATTCTTTTTATGTTTTTTACTTTTATGATAATAATTTTTTTTTTTTACACATTCTGTATGAACAATTGTGTCTACCCAAAAATGTGAATTGAAAAATAACAATAATACAGCTTTGCCTGGTAGGGGGAGAGCTAGGGGGATGTAGCTACAGGGACAGTCTAACTTAGTGACTCGCCTGGTCCACACACACAACCCATGCTTTTCTTTTTTCTTATTTTATAGCAACATACCATATCCATGGAAAGGTATGTAAAATTAATATTATTATTTAATTTATATTAAGCTATTTTATATGTATTTGACTCTAATATAATTAAATATACAATACAGTATTGTTTAGTGAAAGAACAGGCAACTTAGTTAGGAGAGTGTTATGCATGACCATGGAACCTAACCCCATAAGCCTTTATTCTTGCCAACTACTGGGTTTTTCATGAACCTAACTTCTGTGGTTGGCAAGAGACTATTGATTTAATTAATTTGTTGATTTGTTTGAACTGTTTAATGATCTTTGTGTTTTGAATTGCAGGAATGGTGTTCCAGGTTGTTCCAGAATTTATTAAATTGTCTTTGTCGTATATTCTAATGCTGTACTGTATATATTGTATCTGCTGACAACTTAGTACTGGTGGTGGAGAGGCTATGGAGAAATTAAAATAGAAGGTTGAAATGGAGTCAAAGGGTTTTAAAATGAATGGCAAAAGAAAAAGTATTGATTAACGAAATAGGTGAGAGACCTATGATGGAAAGTGGAAAAGGGCCATGTGCTGTCTGTATGAAAGGTGTTGGCAGTTACTCAATAATGTACAGCTAGTGTAGAAGATCATGGATACACAACAGGTGCAGGGTGTCAATGGCTGACTTTTAAGTACAGGAGTGTATTTAATATTTGCATGTGGACTTATACCAAGGCTGCAGAAATGTCTTTCCAGAGTGAATTACCATAAGTTGCTCAAGGGTGGTTTTCTATATACAGGTATCTTATTTTACCTGTTTCATCCCCATACAAACCAGGAATGTAGTAATGTTTATGAATAATTTAAGAAATATCCACCTAGTGCCACAATAAAACATGACCTAATCTTGTGTGTGTCCACCAGGTTGGAGGGTCAGTCTTACATTCAATATCGGGCACTCCTCATCTCGCTTGGCCTCCACCTCTTTCTACTCATGTTTGGTAGTACTTGCTGCGGACAATTTGGAAAACCAGCGCCATGCCTGGGTTTCTGTCTTTGCTCCACTCATCCTCATTTCAATTGTGTCCATTGCAGCATGTATTTGGGCTGTGAAACATGATCGTTCTTTTGAGGTAAGTGTAAAGATATGTCTACACTTCTGTAAGATGGTTTGAGTTAACTATTGGCCAGGCATCATTAATATCAATAATTCAGCTGTACTTTACAGCACAGTATTAGAAAACAGTACAGTGGTCCCTCGGTTAAAGAACGGTTCGATTAACGAATTGGTTTACTTAATTAGCTCCATAAGGATCTTCAATTCGGTTAATGAACAAAATTTCGATTAACGAAATCCTTACAACAAAACACGCTTGTTGTGAGCATCAGCTGATCACCGATCGCTAGTCCGCCATCACAGTAATCTGGGATCTTAAACCCAACTTAACAGCACGCTTTTAAGCTTTATCTTATATACATCATAGACCAAAGTAGAGAATATAATTTGCATTGCTGGAACTTGCAAGACAAGTAATAATTTGGAATATAAACATCATATATTATGCAAAAAGATAAAAATTTTAGCACACTAGTGTACTGTAGTACATTTTAATGTATAGCTCCTCCCCACTTACGACGGGTTAGGGATCCAAATCCAGGTTGTAAGTTGAAATGGTCTAAGTCTAAAATACTTAAATAATACATACAGCAGAAAAATCTAAAATGGGTGTCTTTTTCTTCTCAGCACCACAAAACTCTCACTTTTAAGCTTGCCAGCCATTTTAAAGTGAATTTCAACAAAATTTGTCAGTACACAAGCCAATCACTGACGTTGGGACAAAAATAATGATTTGACAAAATTTTGGTACGACTGCGCGGTCGATGTCCGGGTGATCGAAGTCGGGAGGAGCTGTACAGTTTTCAACTGTATTTTTTGGGTAGTTTTACATAAATTTCTACATTTATTTTTATTCATTTACATGCACACCATACTAAAAAGAGACGAAAAGAACTAAATGACCTATGCAAAACTCTGTACTTATATACTAAATGATTACGGTACTAAAATTTTAAGGTCTATTGCAAATTATAGCTTGTTTATATTCAAATTAATCAATATCTTACAAGAATACAGCAATAAATTAAATTCCCAGGTCATTTAACTGGCATTTTATAAGAGAAAAGCCTAGTCACTCTAAGGACTGATACAAACACACATGAGACCTTCGCTCCAACTGTCAAACATATCACCACTTCCCCCATCTGCCCAGCCAGTTTTAGGCTTACAGTTTGTATCTTATATAATATCATTTGCATTGCTGGAATCCTTGCAAGACAACGAATAATTTGAATATAAACGTCATATATTTTGCACAAGAGATAAGAATTAATCACCTGTATCACATTACAGTTTAAAGAGTTCTAGTGTATATGTATATATATATATATATATATATATATATATATATATATATATATATATATATATATATATATATATATATATATATATATATATATATATATATATATATATATATATATATATATATATATATATATATATATATATATATATATATATATATATATATATATATATATATATATATATATATATATATATATATATATATATATATATATATATATATATATATATATATATATATATACTGTATAGTGATTTAAGGGCAATTTAGGGGAATTTTAGGAGTGTTTCTGACTTTATGCATTTTTTGGCTTTACTTTGTATGTACTTTTCTGTGAGCTGGAACCAATTACCCAATACCCCATTGAAATAATGGATTCGGTTAACGAATGACTCTGTTGAACGAATTGTGTTCGTTAACTGAGGGACCACTGTACAGTAGTATAAAAGTACAAGTACTCATGATACACATTATATTGTCATTGAGTGACCTATGAGGCATCTACCAGAACACCCCATGCCAGTGCCTACCATGGTTAGGAGGCTTTACATGTTTCATTGGCAGGCTGCACCATCCATTTTTTTTTTTTTCACATATCTCCATTTGCCAGATCTACACTTATTCTAGTTGATCATTCTTGAAATAATTAGTGTTTCTGCACACTTGGTTTATATCATAAGGTAAATGTAATCTGTTTGTGACAATGAAGTGAGAGACCAAGATAATGTTTTGGTGGGTGAATCATTTTTATCTTCAAGTCAGACTTCAACTTGTTACTGATCATATGAGGTGTGGATATAGCGATGACCTTGTCATGCATGTGAAAGTCTGTTTTCTTTGGTAACAATATCTTCAGAGTCTGTAGAAGAGAATGAACAATATAGTATCCCAAGATGCCAGGCCATCATCAGTACTGTAAAATTAGATTTACATTATTTGAAGGGATATATATTGGATGAGTACTGGTGGTCTTAGTGTTGGTTGGCCAGATATCAGTTTTGACCTGGGGAGGTAGCTGGAACAATCAGCGTAGCGTGGGCCCTATGTCAGCCAAACTTTCTTTCCTTCTCTCCCACATCTAGTCCAGTAAACATTGCACATCATTTTGAAGACTGCTCTTCACATGCTTCATTATTTATGCAGATTGATTATTACTTTATAGTGATCTTGTTCATTCTCTTCTACAGACTCTGGGGGCATTATTACCACAGAAAATGAGTTTTCACATACACTTAGAGATCGTCAATGACATCCACAGTGCCTTATATTAGCTGATGTTAATGTTTTGTGTTCCACCATAAACTCCTGTTTATTATTTTTTCAGCTTGAGCTCTTCTGCTCGGTGAATCTGTTACAATTCATTTTCATCGCTCTTCGGCTGGATGAATACATCAGATGGCCATGGGAGGTGAGTTTTCATGATATTTGTTTAACTCAATAAGTTTGTTTGGAATGCCCTCATCATTACAGTTTAGGGTAATTTAAGTCCGCTTTGTTATATATTTTTGTAGTAATTGTGGGAAGTAATTTCCACCTTTATCCTCCAGGTCCTTGAAGTATCGTAGTAGTCGATCTTGTGTGTTACCGGACTTGGAATATCAATCCAATGTGGTATATGTAAATACCCGTAAGTTGATAATTAATTAATGATTTAATTAACTAGTTAGGTTAGGGAAATAATTACACGGAGTGTACAAAAATTAGTGGTAAAAACACTATTTGGCACCCGCAAGACGGATTACTTCACGGGAAGTAGTGCTGTATTCCTCTTTCTCTGTGGATCACATTAATATTGTTTAATTTACACGATATCGGTGGTAGTAGTTAACTAAAAAATGTAAATATGTATTTCTATTAAAAAATAGTATTTTAAAGAAAAATAATAATTAATATTTAGTTCTTGTTTATGTATCACCGCACGAATTATTATTATTATTATTATTATTATTATTATTATTATTATTACAATTACCCCCCAGGCCTCAATGTGGGTCAGTGACTTGTGCCTGTGGCTAAAAAAAAAACATTCTGAAAACCGAAAAATTCCGAAATGCCTCTGGTCCCAAGGATTTCGGATAAGGGATTGTCAACCTGTAATAATAATCATAATAATAATAATAATAATAATAATAATAATAATAATAATAATAATAATAATAATAATAAAGAACCATAAGAAATACAAAAATGAAAAAAAAGATCAAAAGTGAGAAACAATATACTGTACTGTATGTATGTTGTGTTGTCAACAGTAAGAGAAACAATTGAGACCCTGCAATTGTATGTAAATGAGGCAGAAAGTCAGATCAGCAACCTGGGACTTGGTCACAATTTACCTACATCTAATTTTTTTAAAATAACATTAAAAATAAAGATTCAAGGCAATGAACTCTTTAATGTTTTCAATATTGCACTCTACTAGGAAGCTCCCCAAAGAGAGAGTGGCCATAACAAAAGAACTTCTAGGCTGATCAAATCTTTACATACAGTATCTCTCAATTTCTCTCAGGCCCTTCTTCTCTTATCACCCTCTACCATTCTTCCCCTTTTTTTTCCTATTACTGTATTCTTCCCAGTGCATCTACTAAATTATCTCCTGATATCCTTTTCATGTGCCCATACCATCTCTGAGAAGCTCACTTTACCCATTCCACTCTGCAGTTTACATCATCTGTCCTCTTGGCTATTCCAGAGAACCCATACATTTCTTTACTTTTCATCCTTTCCGATCTGTTAACTCTTGATGCATTCTTCAGGTAACTCATTTCTGTATCTTGAAAGGCTGGTAAATAGATATAATGTATATAGTACCTGAGGTTTGTACGTCTTTTATCTAAATGGTTTCACCATTTACCTTTCATTCTGAGTCCCACAGAGTATTACAGTTCTGTATTTTATAATATTCAGTACAATACAAATACAAAATGTTATACTCTCTTTAAAGCTAGTCATTTCTGTCTCAATTTTTCAGATAGTGTTTGTCCCAGCATGGATCCTGATGTGTGTGTCTGTGGTTGCAGTGCTTTACTCCATCATATTTGCGGGACTCCTGCTGAGAATGCCTGATGTCAACCCAGATCGTCGTCGCACTTCCATGAACTCTGCAATTGGTTACACCTGCTTGGTTGCACCACTTCTTATTTTTCTTGTGAGAAATTTAAAAAAAGTTTTAGAAGATAAACATATAGTACAAGATACAGTATACAGTATACTGTACTGTATATACATGAGTACAGTTCAAGTTTTTATGATCAAATTTTTATGCAAAAAGTAGGGGGCTGAACTATATACGCATTATATTTTTAAGGGGTTAAAATTCATGTACAGTGTTTCCATTGCTCATTTACAGTGAACCATAGCTACCAGTAAGCTCCTTGATCTTGTGCTTGCCTACCATATCCCAAGAATCTTTCTTTATGTTGCTGCATGAAGAGCAGAACCTCAGGCACTATATATGCCACTTTAAACCTACAAATACTCATCACTAGCCACATCCCTCCAGTCCTGTAGTTACCAGGCTGAGCTGTGATGTATTATGGTTATTTTTCAACTGACAATAGTTTTGTCCTTTTTCATGCATCCAGAATTTGATTTCCAGTCAAACCCCTTGTGATTTACCTAATATTTGGAAGGTACATTTAATTACAATATATATAAAACAAATAACTCGAAATATAGCTTCATTTGTCAAATACTTAATAGTTTTGTTTATTGTGTCACCATTAAGCACATGTAATACAGTACACTTAATACGGCATTTGTCAATTTCATTATTTGTTTCAGTACAGATTTGCAAACACTGAAATATGCAGAGATGGTATTTTTATATACTGTACTAATTTTATACTCCATCTTTCAGATCACACTGGCCAGCAAGATGAATGGTAACACATCAGCAACATACACATCAGTGGTGTCACCCCTCTACATATCTTATGTCACACTAATATTAATGTCTTTCACCACCAAACGTGCCAACCAATGTAAGTATTGATGTGAGCTGCAGGTCATGTATGTAAGCACTTGAGAGTGGAAGATTATTATGAGACATTTTGAAGTACAAATGAGGCGCTCCGCATTACAAGGGGGAAAAGCGCCACCTCGGGCAAAATTCGTTTTTTTATGGATATCACTATTTTCACCCTTCCTCTACATGTTGGTGTTGGGTGTAACCCCCAAGGTAGACTAGAAATATGGTTGAAAGTCATTCAAAAATAGGGTGTTTGTTTTTGGTGATCATTAACTTGTTTTACAGTATTAGCTCACAATAATAAGAAAATTTTGCAGAAAAACGTGATTATTGTTGGTTTGAAGATCAAACGACCATACATGACGGGTAGTTATTCTCATTCAACTCGCGATAAAATAATAACTATTCACAGTACTAACTTCTAGTTTTTACTGTTCACTAGGAGAGGGATTGAGCTGCACGAAAAATAACTGAACTTCCGAACTTAAAAAACAACAAAGTTATGATTGTTTGAACTTCGAAAAACTTTAAACGCGTTTTTCTCCGCTTTTTAAAATTGGCTCTTCACCCCTTTGTAATGTGTAGCGCCTCAATTGATTCACAAAAATTCATGAGGTCAGGGACTGAACAATACTTGTACTACAAATATGCAAAATTTCAAATTCCTAAATTAAAGATTTATGGAGAAATTTGGTTATGGACCAGAAGGTTTAAAATTATCACGTGAACCTTCCCAAGCCATATTAAACACCAAAAATTCTGGGAAATGATTAAATGATTGAATAAAAATGAATTAGATATAAAGCCATGCTCTATTGAACATAAGGGCATTTTAGTAAGCCCTTGATTTACAATATGGTAAAGAACGTTTTTACAATTTGTATACAGTGTTATCTTCATTAACTGGAACTATTGGTGCAAAACACTTCCAGGATTGAGAGATTTCTGGGTAACGAGACGACTCTCAAAGCCGGAAAAAATCCCTCATCTCCAGAATTTTCCGGGTACCAAGAAATTTTTTTCTGAAATTCCAGAAATTGCTCATTACATTATCTTTGGAACCCAGAAAGAAATCTTCCAACCTCGGAATTTTCTCGTAATTTTCCAGAATGTTACATTATTTCATCTTTCAAATAGGAAAAAATCCCCCATCCCTGGTATTTTTCAGAAATTTCCGGGTAGAGTAGAATGTCGATTTAACGCGATTCAAATTAAGATTATTGGTTTAAAGTGACACCCACAATTAAGGACAATGCTTTAATTTAAAGCGAATCTTTCCTATTTTGCACGAGTCAATCTGACGCATCATATTTTAAAATTTGCGCCTAATGTTTCTCTGGGCACGCTACACTGTCCTAAGGGCAAAGCTGTACTGTACATGTAATCAAAATAATGTACTAAATTATTGCAAAAATTTTTGTCTAGTGCAAACTATAGCATGGTTACTTTCAAATTAATCACTATCTTATAAGTATTCCAGTAATGGAAATTATATTCTCCCCAGTCACTTCTATGACATTTTATAAGCAAAAAACAAAAACTCAATCTAAAGGACATAAATAAACAAATAAATACTTCACTAGACCTTCGGTGCCAACTGTCAAACATATCACTTTTTTCTCCCTTCCCTTCCTCCCTCCTCCCAGCCAGGGTTTGGTGGTTATACAGTACGCTTTAAGCTTTTATCTTATATAATATCATAGACTAAAGTTAGGAGAATATAATTTGGATTGCTAGAATCCTTGCAAGACAGCAAATAATTTTAATATAAACATCATAAATTTTGCACAAAAGATAAAAATTTTAGCCATTTGTAATTAGAACTAAAATTTGTATGTCTAATGCAAACTATAGCATGTATATATTCAAACTAATCACTAACTTATAAGAATTGCGTTATATCGACATTCTACTGTTCCGGAATATTTTTCTCAGAATTCCGGAAAATGACCCTGATTTTCATCTCTCAAACCCAGAAAAAAAATCCCCCATCCCTAGAATTTTCCAGGTACTGGGAAAGTTTTCTCAGAATTTTCCAGAAAATGTGCCCTTCAAAAAATTATTCCCAAAGCTGTAATTTTCCGGAAAGTTTCGGCTTTGGGAACGATTTTCTGGGAAAATTTCAATTCCAGCTGTCATGGAGTTCAGGTTAAGAGGGATTCTAGCTAATGGAAATATTATATTTAGGGTTCATTATGAAAAAAAAATTATGAAAAAATTATAATGTAATTGATATAAATTTAATATATTTAACCCCGATCAACAAAATTTACAAGAAATTGTTATAGAGAATATTGTACATTCACTGGAGGTTTTTATACAGTAGTCCTGCTTCAGTGTGATACTATCTTTCAACTCCCATATAGCTTCATGTCTTACTGAGTGGAACTTGACCATCACAGTTTGTTATTTCATAGTAGCAAAGGAAAATTTTATATACTTCAGCAGGTTGTATGGTTTGTATGTCTGTGGCAGGTTGACAAAGACCAGGCACTTACCGAGTAACAGATGTTTTAGCCATAGCTACTGCTGTCCATTTATTATAAGTACAACAAAACTTCCCAAGGTTAGACTATGTATACTGTATAGGGATTAAGCCAGTCCTATTTCACCAAAAGTCCGACTTAGTGATAATAACCTCTCTTGGTGCCCCTAATGTCAAACACAAAAACACAACCACACAACACAGCCATACACAAAAAAAAAAACACTTCTACAAAACTCAACCATAAAACACAAGGAACTAAACATATATGATAAGGTACCGGGTATATACAAGATCATGCCCAAAGCAAGAAATACTGTACAGTAATAAGTTTTGTTTTTATTTTAGTCTTAGAAGCTTATATTGGTACTTTTATGTACAAAATTTTATGCAAAGTAAATGCCACGAGAAATGTTTTTAGATAAAAGAAAATAGTTCACTCTTAAGATTTACAGGTACAGTATTTCATCATAATGGTTGGAATCAAGACCAGGCACATTTAATCATTCTTTCACAAAAATACTCCTAAAACTTCACATAACCTACTGCAGTGTATAGGTAGTTGTTTTGAATATTTGTGTTATATGGTTGTGTAGTTTGGTTGTTTTTTGTGTATTGTTGTGTTTTATGTGTATTGGTTGAGTTTTGAGTATTGTAGTGTTGTGTGCTTGTTTTGAGTATTGTAGTGTTGTGTGCTTGTTTTGAGTATTGTAGTGTTGTGTGCTTGTTTTGAGTATGGTTGTATTTTTTGTAACTGTGTTTTGTGGCTGTTTTATATGTATGGTTGTGTTTTATGTGTACCTTTATGGTTGAGTTTTGTAAAGGTGTTTGTGTATGTATGGCTGTGTTGTGTAGTTATCCATACCTGTACAGTAAATGGAAAAGGAATTCCATATCTGTATTTTCTTTTGATTCTTTCCACTTTACAATAAGCAAGAAAAGGCTTGAAAAAAGAGAACAAAATTCTTTGGTTCTACTTTTCTTTTCTCTGTTATGTGTTTAAACTCTCACTTTCGCCTCAACTGTAATACCTGTACCTGAACCAATTGTTTTTCAACAGGGTGGTTTGGTCTAAGGAAAGACCTGTGCCAGTTTCTCCTGGGAGTGTGTCCATTGCTCCAGGAGTATGCCAACATCTCGTACAGTATACCTCACATGGAGGAGGGTCAGACAGATGGTCGCACTTCACAGTCAACAGAGACTGGAGTCATCACCTCAGAAAAGAGGGATGTTGTAGCTTCCTCTCGCAGGCTTGAACATCGTGTAGTTGTGCCGGCCGTCAGTCTGGAGGTACCAGATTAGATGAAAGGATCCTCCAATTTTTAGTATGACAAAGTAATTGATGAGTCTCACTTTATAATTCAATTTTTGTGTTAGTATATACAGTACAGTAGTAATATTAAATATGGCTTATATGTTCACAGAAATATGTGCAATTTAAGTTTTATGAACAGTAATTCAATTTTATTTAATAGAAACTACATGTACAGTACTCATTTTTAAAGGTAAGAAATAATTCAATGATATATATATATATATATATATATATATATATATATATATATATATATATATATATATATATATATATATATATATATATATATATATATATATATATATATATATATATATATATATATATATAATGATTAATCTTCATTATTATTTATGGATGGTCAATCCATAATCAAGTTTTGTGTCTGTTTATCAGTAAATAGGGATAACATGGATGAAATGACACTTCTCAGGTTAAGATAAGGTGTACAGTAGTCAACTGATTATCTGTCTTGACAGTGTACATCATTTAACACACTACTGTAGCATGAATATGGAGGAAGGACACCACCAAGACTTTTTCTCAGCACATTCATTGCACATCTTAGCATGATATCAACACACTGAATCATTGACATAAAAAATTCTTCAGGTTTAATTAATATCATTAAACCAACACCTTTTATTGCACTTGAAGAAATAGAGTTAACATTCTAGTCACCATCTCTGACATTTGCTTTGGATGGCATCCTGGGTTGAGAATAATGACCATAGTGTTGGATTTAATATCTTAATATTACAGTGGCCACCTGGCCTTCTCTGTGGACTAACATACTGCTCCACCAACTTTGCCTTGCTGTGAGATCAAGCTTGTAGGTCAGTGAGTTAATGGAAATCTATATTTTTATGATGAGGATGCCAAGATAAACATCTGTCAACACAGGGCAGACATATTCAGCCCTCAGTTTTATGTAACATGTTGACCTGACTTTCTCTCCCTGCAATCAGAACTTCAGTTCCACATTTACAGCTCAATAACTTATGAAATATCTTCCCAACTTTGACCAGTTGTCATCTCAGTTTTTGCATTTTAACTATTCATTTTTTTTATATCAACCCTTTTAATTGAGAGTAGAGGAAGGTTGATAGATTACCAGTAATAGATACATTGTATAGATGGATTGACAGATTACCAGATTAATAGGGGATATTACACTATTAGGACCACACAGAAATAAGCTCAAACATTGACCTTTTGGCAGTTACAGTATAAAGGAAGGTGGTGGTCACAACAAACTAAATTATGCCTAACCCTCTCAGCAGCAGGTCTCTCTACATTCTTGTGTAACTCTTAAAACATTGAAAAATTTTATCTATGGTTTAAATGTGACAAGTGAAAGTGTCTGGTCATTACTTTTTACTTGTTAACTAATACAGTCTATTTATACATTTGTTAATAGCAGGGGAAATTTTTACTATAACTTCTAATTATGCAACTTGGTTCTGAAGTCAACACTGATACTGTAATTGAAAACTGCAGATATTAGATGGAAAATATTTGAAACTTAGATAGAGGAAGGTCTTTATCAGCTTCAGGAGCCATCAAAGTAATGGATGCTTAGATTTGATGTTGCAAGTTGCAAGAGGCTACACCTTATTGTAACAATTGTAGGGAAGCACACCACAAATCCTAACACAGTGGCAACACCTCATAAACTGAAACTAGTCTTGAGAAAGATATGGGCATTTATGTTGACAATGAATTGAACTTCTTGGATCAGATGTAAATTAACTTGAAGGACCTATACAAAGATCTTGCTTATACTTTGACAGTCAGTCTTGGCTTTTGAAAAGTGTAGTGCTTTCTCACTTGGGGTACTTTCATTCCCTGAGAAACACTAAAGACTGCCAATTGATTGAGAACATCCAAAAAGGGGCCACTAAATAGGTGCCAATACTCATATACCTCACGTACCAAGAGAGAGTAGAATGTCTTCAGTTGACTAGTTTATAGAAGAGCAAGGGGCAATTTGATAGGAAATTATATGCCCTTGAAATGGCATTATTCAGACACATGTACATATCTGGAGTTAGTGGATGGCCACCCCAGTGGAGGTCTCAGTCTCAGGTTATTGAAGTTATAAGTACATAAAATTGTCAGAGCTAACTTCTAAAGGATAAGAGTTGTAAACTTTTGGAACACTGTCAGAGTGTATTGTGACAGTATGAAGTGTGAGCTCCTTTAAGTCCAGACTTGACCAGTGGCACGTGTTCATGTATACTCAAGCGCCAGTACATGCCTAGTACTTCCCAACATTGTGTAACAGAGAATTAACCTACTGCCTGACCAACTAGAAAGCAGACAAGTTGCGAAGAAAATAAAGTTAAGTGAGGTCCTCAGGACTCGGTGTTTGGTCTCTGCCTTGGGGATTTGTCTTGTAGACTTTGTTTCAATATGTATCAAAACCTTATTATTTTTGTTTAAAATCTGAGCTTACATGTGTTTATTTGAATTAATCTTATATAAGAGGATGCATCATTTTTGATAACCATTAAACCTCATAATTGTACAAACACTCATGTAAGGTCACCAAGAGCTTATCCGATAACATTTTGCAAGATGTACTGTCTCGTTCAAGATTCTTCGAACACTGCTGAAAACAGCTGGCAACTCAAGGCCGTTTGTTTACTATAGTACGTAGTATAATATAGTAATATGAAACAACAAAGCCCAACCATTAATTAAGCAACGGGGAACTAAGTAAACGATCACCGATCACTTTTACATTTATTCACAATTTTTACTACGTATTGTACTGTACTACATATAGTAAACAAACATCCTTGAGTTGCCAGCTGTCTCCAGCAGTGTTCGAAGAATTTTGAACAAGACTGTACCTTGTGTTTCACTGTTAGTAAGTTAAAGTTTTCATTTCAGACTTAATTTCATATTTGTTGGTTTAAATTTGTTTTTCAGAATCATTTATTTCATATGTGTATTCAATTATCTCTTTTCATTTATACACATACTGCTTCTCTGTTATTTAGTTATGTAGATATTTTGAAAGTAGGATTTTGTACAGTAAAGTGTGTGTCAACCAAAAATCTTCATGAAGTACAGTAAGCTATGTTATTGTTCAAATTGTAATTTTGGTTAGATATACATAAGTTCTTTTTTTATAATTACTCATATATATGCACACATAATCATTCATACAAAATTTGCCCAAAAATTTAAATAAAAAATTAATTGTCATAAAGGTAAAAAATATACAGGGAATAAACATTTCTTCGTGCCAGCTCTGGACTGTTATGGTTATTTTTCAACATAATTTTGGGTAGAGATATTAATTTTGTTTTGTTTTTAAATCTGTTACTTACACACACAATCATTCATACAGAAAGTTAAAAAATAATATAAAATAATAATAAACAATTATCATAAAGTAAAAAATATAAAGGAAATGAAAATTTCTTACATGCACGGGAGATAGCCCACAGAGTGGGGGAGGTGAAGCAGCGAGGTGGATTCTTCAGCTGTCTGTCTCGTATCCCATGAAACAATTGCCAGTACACAGTACAGTACTGTATACACATGACACAGTTCAGTCGGGCAGCCACCAAGCTGACTCAAGAGACATACAGTATGTGGCTACTGCCTGTATGCCAAGACTTTACATGAGGGGAGGGAGAGTATGGTTGGCCACAGTTACAGCTCACTGCCTTAATACATATGTTCACTTCCCACACATACTGTACACACCCATGCTCTTTATTTTTCTTATCTTTATAGTTTTATATTATATTTTCTTTATTTCTAAGCCACATTAGAGTATTGTAATGATGTGCACTTGGGGCACAGTAATGATGTGCATTTGGGGCACAGTAATGATGTGCTCTTGAGGCACAGTAATGATGTGCACTTGAAGCACAGAAGCCCCAGTTTTTCCGACTTCCCTCCCAAATTTTTCCCAGGGAGTCAAACATCATTAAACTAAAAATTGACCATTGTTAAACAAGAAAGGATGATAGAAATTGTATATCGCTAAACCGAAATATTGCTAAGTGAATGATCGTTCAACGGGGGATACCTGTAATCTTTTTTATTAAAAATGTGAGCATCCTTTATATGAAATTTTAAGAATACTGTACCTGCATAGAATAATTTTCTTTAATATATTTAATTTTCCACTACGAATGAGATTAAATGAGCAGAAATTGGACAATCAGGCAACTGGCTGAGTGTCTGTGTGTGTGGTGGTGTGAGTGACAAGTTTACTTGTCATCCTGTGAGTAAGGAGTAAGTTATATGGTGAGTGTAAAAGAATGATGACACTTAACATAGAGAGTGTAAGAGAATAATGAAGAAGTTAGTGTACAGGTACGTATTTGTAGAAACTAATGATATAACCAAGTGACACAAGTTTGTACTATGGTTTATTACATTATCAACTTTATCTAATTATCCAATTACAGAAGTCTCTTGGTTCCAAACTTTTTGGTTGACAGATACTTTGCTGAAGTTAATACAGTAATTAGAAATTTGTAAACTAGTTTTCCATATCTATTTAAAATGACAATGTGAATTAAAAGATATTCAAAGACAAAAGTATGCAAAGCAATGCCTTTGTCAAAACATTTTACAAATGATCTAATAAAAGTTTTGTGTACAATACGATGTAGTATTTTTATTTATTACTTTTATAAGATATACTGTACTGTACATGTACAGTACTGTATTCTTATTTTCTAACTAAATTTATAGAGATTTGAATACAGTAAGCATCCATTAAAGTAGAATAACTGGGAGGAAGGTTGGTAAACATGTAAAACTGGATTTTCTGAGGAATGTCACCCAGCACTGTATACAGTATAGTATACTGTAGTATTATGACTATTTAACAAAAATTTAATCTACTTTGCATTCATATTAGATTATACATGAAAAAGAAATGTATTTATGAAACTTTACCTTCAGGTGAAAAACAAAATGAAAATGATGAGCTACAATGAGTGAAGTCACAGCCTCCGTAATTTACCAGAAATGCTTGAATGCTTGTCTTGAGTACTCCTTTTGGCCTTCCATCATCATTATTTTTATTTATGTTCATGATGATGATGAAATAGGGAGTACAGTACTGTACTGTACATATTATTGTACTACACACACACACACACACACACACACGTCACAAATAGTTCCACTATACTCAACCTTTAGACTGCAGTGATTCCCAAACTGTATTTCACAGAAGCCATTGGTTCTGCAAAGGGTTACCAAGGATTTTGCTGGACAGCACACCCAAGAACCGGATCATGAGTGGCAAACTACAAATACTGTAGATGAATTGGGGAATACAGGTGTAATATTTTTTTATTAGTTTTTGGTGATATCTCATAAAAAAATATATATATTTCTTGATTTATTTATCATTTCACCAAATACCAGCTTACTAGCCATTTGGGCAGTTGGTCTATCCAGCATTAAAACAGGAGGCAACTGAAGTCTGGTCAACCTGTGATGCTTGGTAGGGTCACACTGGATACACCCTTCTCATGTCTCCAGGCAAAGCAAGACTCAAACCTTTGACATCTTTGTGAGAGATACGCACATTACCCACATTACCGCTGTACCACTAACACTGGCATGATTAATATTTTTTTTAATAAAATTCAATTCAATTAACTTGGCATCACTGGTCACCCACATGGTGACACTGCAACGATCAGTGTAGCCATAGGCTTAGTATTACACACTGCAGTCTGTAGTATAAGAACACAGGTTTTCCTGTGTCCGGTGTCCTGCTGTTCTAATACTGGACAATGAAGGATAAACTGATCAAGAACAATTTGGGAATTAAACAAGCCACCAGCTTCCTGTCCCTTAAATTAACTTTACCTTACTTTATGCTCTTTGCCACTGATGGGCCTGCATGTGTATCTTCATATGCAACAGTTTGTTGACTGAAATAAAGTTTAAATTAATTAAAAGACCAGAACAATGATGGATATATGCACAAAATTATTGTTTTTGCTTGAAATTTGAAGAGAATGGTGAGTCCTATTGGCTAGAGATAGATTTGACAAAAGAGAGAACAGGAAAGGAGACTGGCTTAGCAATATTCAGCCTAATTCAATAACTCTGTGATCTCTTATCTCAAACCATTCCCGTGATTTACATAATACGTACAACGATAACAGTCATGTCATAAATAGAGATAATACAGAACAGTACTTTGTTTCAGCTTTAGATAAACCTTATGCAAGTGTTGGGCATACAAGTGCAGTGCTACTGTACTGTATTGCGTTTTATATCTACACAAACTTATTACTTAATTAAATCCATTGCCATTATGTGTAATTTAATATATGTAAGCCATCATATTGATCTTTACCAATATTTAATTTTATATACATCTTCATACTGTTCATACGCGCAAGATAGCATGAACCACATGGACGAATGGTGATGAAATTAACATATCTGAGTCATAAGAGTAGTAAAAGACGAAAGCGTATATATTTAATACGTATTGCAGATAGATTAATGTATAAATGTTGATCTTGGTTAAATTTAGAAGTATGAGTCATTATATTATATAAAAACCGTCGGAGTAACATATTTGCTTCAATTGAGTATTTTCTCCCATGACAAACGAAGGTACTGGTAAGCTTCCACCACATGCATTAGGAGTAAAAAAATAAAACATGAACATAATTAAAAAATGTGAAATATTAGTTTAGTTTTGTTATGGAGATATGAATCGTCAATATTTTGTAAGGTTAGTGATATCGTTGTTTAGTATAGAAAAAAAAGTTTGGAAGGGAACCCAGGCTGATGCAACACCGTATTCCTCCGCCATGGCCAACGCCTGTTTAAAATATATACAATTTCTTATTTAATACTTAATTTAACTTATATCCTAAGAGTTAATAATTAAAACTTATTAAAATACTAATTATCAGGAAAATATTAATAAATGTTGGGGTATTCTAAAACAAATTTGGAGAACTAGTTGTAGGCGCGGAGTGTGGGGTGATTAGGCTAATGTAAAGATGACGGACTACAGTTAAGACTATCAGCGTTAAAATGGCTCCTAAACCAAGTATTTCTTTCCTTCTCAGTGGCTACAGGATGTCCAATATAGTGATTGAAGATATTCACGCTTGTCAGTGTTATAATAAGGTGAAATATTATCAATTTTGGCACAAGAACTGTGAGGAGTGTGGTGCAAGAGGAAGGGAGGAGATTAATATAATATTTTCTCGTGAGTGTGACGGCTGGCCTCCTCAACCTACCACTAATATCATTAAAACGGGTAAGGCTTAGATGTATATACACAATAATTCCCATTTTGTCGACTGGTTAATTGTCACTTCATTCGTCAACTCCAGAAGGATTTTATGGAATTGCACTAAATTTTTCAGATGTTGTTTGGATGATAGTATTAAAATCAAAACGACAATATTTTAGTTATTTTTTCTTCGTTTTAGCTTATCCTTCTATCATAAATTACTTGATAGTGGGCAGGGCATGAAAGAAGAGAGAAATAATGAGGGGTAAGTATTCGTCCATTGGCTGTCTTCAGGTTTTGATATATTTTTTTTTTCGAGGTGTATTAAGCTTTGTTTTACTCAAATCTGACCTTTATTTCTAGTGCAATTTAGTGACAAACCAACCAAACCTAACAACCATTTTATGAGCTTACCTGTTACTGGTGGAGTATACAGCTGGGCGATCAGGTACGCTCATGGTGGTAATTATATAGGACTAACCCGCGAGCGAAATTGATTGAAAACAATCATAAAAACGCCGGATTTTCATTGTTATATTATAGTGGACATTTGTAGTTTGTGGAAATATGTTAAAAAAAAGAAACGCTACTTAACATTTGTGGCTATGAAGAACAGACCTAACCAACCAAACCAAACAAACCTACCTAACCTTACTTAACTTCCCCGTTATATTAAACAGAAATTAGAGGAATTTCTGGACGTGAGATGATACGGCTGCATTGGTGCTATGCAGCCCCGGTGGGTTAGTCCTATATATTAACTTTTATGGTTATATACAAAAGAATTTCTGTCCTTTCTTAAAAGTAAACAAAGGACACAGTCCTAATGCTGGTAGGACACCATGATCTTGTAATATTTGGATTGCTCCATAGTCGTTCTCATAAACTCACAGAATAACAGCGAGATAAGGGAGAGAACACATATCACACGCCATCACGAGCCTTCAAAATTCGAAATTGTGTGGTGGAAGGCTGCTTCAAAATAATTGGCCAGCCAAGTCACATGGCACAATATTTGTAGGTCATGTCGCAACGGTGCTGGACAACTCATACTCAAGCAAATCGTACCCATCAGAACATGTCGAGTCGTACCCAATTACAAGATAACTCATACCCAATTTATATATATATATATATATATATATATATATATATATATATATATATATATATATATATATATATATATATATATATATATATATATATATATATATATATATATATATATATATATATATATATATATATATATATATATATATCAGGTACCATTTCTGGTTCCAACACGTGTCGGTGGTACAAGGTGACTCCTGCATATGCTGCAGGCATTGGAGCATCTACTGAAGAGTTACAAGGCTATTGTGCTCCACATGCAACAGATAGAGAACCCTGATGATCCCTCATACCACAAGGATTCATCCAGAAAAGCCTTGGGGGGGCCTCTCAGAGCTGTTCCAGCATGGTCAAACCAATATTTCTGCTATCGTGAATGAAATTCAGACTGCAGTTGATGTACTTAACAAATATTTGACTTGGCCAGTACCCAGCCTGAGAAGGATTATGGAAGGTGACACGACCAACTGTTCCAAGGAGAGAAGCTGAGTGGTAAAAGCAACGCCTTCAAGACTGTAAGGCGTGACATGCTGACATCACTGATTTCAAGTCTAAACAAAAGATTTATTGATATGGCCAGTATGATTCTCCAGAACACATGGATTCTGAATTTCAAATTGTGGGAATGAAGATTTGGGGGATAGCGCTGTGCAAGAGTTGGCCCAGGCTCTTGAGAAAACACTGATGGAGGCAGAGGTGAATCCTACTTTGGTAGAGGATGAATGGACTGTGCTCAAAAGTTACATTTACATGAGTAAGGCATCACTTGTTTCAAGAATGTCTTGGCAGCAAATCAACCACTCATACAGTGAAATGTGTGCCTCATTTCTCCATCTGGTTGACCTACTGCTTTCCATTCCAGCTAGCTCGGCTGATGCTGAACGTGGTTTTAGCCAGGTCAAACTCATTAAGACAGACTGGCGCAGTCGTCTCACTGATGACCACCTGACGGATCTCATGGTGGTTCAGTTGCAAACAGAGTGTGTTGGCAACTTCAATCCGGACAAAGCCATTGCCAGATTCCTAATAACTGGGGCCCACTGTGTGGATGGCTACACTCACACTGCTGGCTGCAGCACAGTGGAAGATCTGGACGACAACAATGAGTTGAACGAGGAGCATGTACAGGAAATGCTTGTTCAAATGCAATGAAAAATCTGTGCTCCATGCAATTAATTTAGTTATTCCAGTGTTGGTTTATGATTTCTACTGCTAAATAAATGTCACACAGTAAAGATGTGCTCCATGCAATTATTTTAGTTAATACCGGTATGTGAATATTCAGTGTTCACACTGTAAATCCGTGCTTCATGTTAATAATTTAGTTAATATGTGATTATTCCAGTGTTGGTTTATGATTTAACATGGTTTCTGCTACTAAATAAATGTCACAGTAAATAGAACTTTGTCTAAACCCGATAAGTGCCAATGTTTAAGTGTTATTAAAAATTTATAAGGACTAGTAAATTTTCAAATCTACTAGTCCTGCTAACGACTATGAAAAAATGGTGAATTTCTACCCCTGACTACAGTAGTTTGTTATGAGGTATATCTACATAGTTTACAAGATACAGTACACATTATCAGGACCTACTCTTTGGAATCTTGGATAAATCTGTGCATTTTAAGGTGTATCCAATTAATGCATGCATCACAGCCAGTACTTAGCATTATCATTCAAAGACAACTTGCATACACTGCAAAACCAGAGGAGAGGCTTTCATCGCTACACTGATTTCATTAGTGGTTACATGAGAGGTATATCTGGACCTTTCACAACTTATTGCCACTGATGACAACCGGACAGATAACTAACACCAGGTTGTGCTCGCTGTTTGTCCGACAACTGGACAAATTTCCACAGCATAGTTACTGTAATACTATAAAAGGTGTGCAAAACAAAATATATTTAAAAAGGGTCCCCTGACAGTTACAACTTGGATACCCAGTTGTGTTGACTTGTATATAACTTTCATGATGCAGTGTTGTGCTGCAATGTGTATCTTGTTGGCATATTGGCTCTTTAAGTGAATTATTGTAAATAATGCATTTTTATATGTTTTTAATTTCTTTGATTCATTGTAATCTGAGATCATTATGTAATCTTTTTCTTTGACTGGTTTTTACTTGAATTTTGCTCAATACCTAGGAACTGCAAGTCAAGATGAGTATGTGGATGGGGTCGCAGGCTGGTGGTTGGCCAGGAAGCACCAGGATGAACTATCACAGCAAAGTTCCCATTGTGCCACAGGTTAAGTTACAACTTGATGTTCATCCCCCAGTATTGGACACAGGTCAGAAGCAAATGCCAACAAAGACCTTTGGTAAGTCAAGTAAGATTATGTCTATTTGTTAACTAAGCCTAATGACATTGATTTTAAATTAGGGATATACTGTACTGTAATCTCGGTTGTTTCCTTCATATATTTACATATCTATTTTTAGAAAGAGATTAAACCTAGTAGACTCAAGGCTTTCAAATATACAGTATACTTAAATATTTACAAAAATGTACAGTCTCGTTCAAGATTCTTTGAACACTGCTGGAAACTCAAGGCCGTTTGTTTACTATAGTATGTAGTATAATATAATACGAAACAACAAGGCCTAACCATTAATTGAGCAACAGGGAACTAAGTAACCAATCACCAATAACCTTTTACATTCATTCATAATTTTTACTACATACTATTGTAAACAAACAGCCTCGAGTTGCCAGCTGTCTCCAGCAGTGTTTGAAGGATCTTGAATGACACTGTACAGTACAGTACATATACAGTACTGTACTGTGTTTCCCTTTGTTCAACACCCATTGTGGCTCTGCCACACAACACATTTCAACACATTCCTTATCATAGTACAGTAAATTAAGGGCCCATTATGAATGGTCCCCCAAGCTTATTGGTATATTGAAATTAGGTCTTAAGTTGTCATATTCCATTGACATTGGGTCTGTCTAGGACAGTATAGGGCTGTTGTATAGTAAAACACTGGACTGTACCACTGCAATTGAGCATTTTCATTCACTTGGCCAATTGCTTCTAGAGCTAATGGGTGTAGAAAAGCACACATTCTTGCCTTAATACATGTGTACATGCCTTCCAAGGAATTCAAAACTGATTTGTGTAAAAAGGGGATAACTTGATCATTGAGGTGCAACAAAACAAGTTTGTCAAAAGGATGTTTTCCATAAAAAAGAGTACAGCATAAGGTGAGTAACCCCCCAGACAGGTTAAAACTGGGAAAGCCTGATTTTTTTCTTTTTATTACAGGTGGAGGAATAGGAAAGCAAATACAAGGGGGAAGTGGTGGTCAGTTCTGGAAGTCTTTCCGCACCATGTATGAATCCCTGTGTTCCGGGACCCCTTTGACCTGGGTCAACCCAGATGCAGTTGGTCAACAACATCCTCCATATCAACTTTATCCTCAGGTCCAGTACCAGTGCAATGTGCAACCAGACATCATGTATGAGGACAGTAGTGGCCTGTGGTACCCAGCACCGCCTGCAGGTTCACGGATAGATTACATGGACCCTCTCATTATCTGGCAAGAGAGCCCTTGTCCTCTGTTCAACTTTCTACCTGAGTTTAATGGCACACAACTGCCACAAAAGGTAGAAGATAAAAAAGTGTGTCGGCCCCTGAACCCAGAGGCCAAGGAGTGGATACCCAAAGAGTACATTAAGGACTGTGAAGCATCAACCTCTTCCCCTAGAAAAGAAACCTCAGATGCAGATTGTTTTGAGACTAAATTGCCTTATATTCCAAATGGACTGCAGTACCCTGCTAATGAAGACGGGTTGTCTGATTTCTGTGAGATCACAGACACTGAAGTTTATGCTGTCCGAATAGGTGAAAGTGACAGTTTTAACAGTGTTCCAAAGGGAAGGGTGCCTCAGGTTACGAAGAAAAAACTAGGGGCAGAGAAGGAGGGATTTAAAGAAAAGACAGTCGCTATCCCTGTTCCTTCAGTAATAAAAGATGTACCTCCAGCTGAGGATCCATCCTCTTATGGCTGTAGGGATGTAGAGATTCATGTCTGTGATAATTTAGTTAAGGATAATAGACCTTCAAGCTATGCTAGTATTGTTGGTGGAACTGCAGCCTCACCAACACCCCAAACACATGTGTGTGGACATTCATTTGAGAAGAACTCAGCCAGCAGAATCAGTAGAGCAGCCTATACCTAAGATCTTTTTGAAAGACAAGAAATACCCCAAAGAAAAGGCTGCACCCTGTGTTGATGAAAAAAATATCTCTCCATTTAAAACTGCGACAAAAAATCAAAAGAGATGTAGTAGAAATTTTTTGAGAGAATTAAAAGAACTAAGTCCAATCAGAATTCAAGACAAAGAGTCCATGGGCAGTGAACCTAGCTTGGGATCACCCAACCCTGAACATTCATCACCTCCAAAAATTTATTCTACAAGGTCACCATTGTTGATGGACTCTCCACCAAAGGCTTCTCACAAGGGTAATCCTCCATGTCCTTTTGGTTCACCTCTACCAACCAACTTAAAGGCACAACGCTCTATAAGTGAGAGCAGTTCAGGCAGCTCCCGTGTTCGGACTGCAAGTGAATCGAGTATCACCAGTGTAGAAAGTGTAGATATTGAATTTGTAAGTGAAGATGAAGTGGACAGAAAATGTACTGGACTTAATGGGAATGTCTTAGCAGAAAATAGTGAACCCAATTGTGTTGCAAGTCCAAAGTATTCCAATAGTGTTCTTGCTCTTATTCTTGGCTGTGATGATTCAGAGAGTGAAGAATCTGATGATGAGTTAGAGGATTCAGATAGTGACTGGGATGATGTGTGTGTGGATAGTGCTGATAACATTATCCTTGATGATACCTGGGAAACATTTGGACTAGGTCTCACAATTTCAGAAGCTGGAAAAACACAAAAATCAAATGCAGCCTCTGAGCTAGAATGTACCATTCGTTCTCCTGTAAAGCCAATCTGTGATACTGCAAATGAAGAGGATCCTACATTTACAGGAGTTACTTTAGAAGACATTAACAAAAGATGGGAGGAGGAAATAGAGAAAGATGTTTTGGGTACTAGTTCGAGGAAGGTGAACTTTGGAGAAGCTATTGTTCACCCCATGATTGTCTGGTCCTATGCATACAAAACATCAAGAATGGGACCTTGGGAAATGTATGCCCGTGATAGAATGCGTTTCAGCCATCGCATTGCAGCCCTGGAATCAGTGATTTCTCCTGTATTGCAGGCAGACCACAGAGAGGCATTTTACCAGAAGCAGCGAGGCCTGGCATGTTGCCTCAGCTAACAGTACCTTATATCTAGTCCAAACAGATATTTAGATTATTCTTTGTTAGGGAAATGAGGATGGAGTTTTGGACTGGCAAAGTTTGATAGTTACTGATTTTATTCAGGAAAAGTAGTACAAGACAAATAACTGATAAACTAACTCAGTTGAATTGAGAGGATTTTGTTAATGCTACCTGGTATTAACTAGTTTACAACATGTTTTTTGTAGATGTGGTTGGTAATTATTTTAATGATGAAAATAATAGTTGGAGTCTTTCAAGTTCACATGAGACAGAACATACAAATTTATGATGTAATATGTGTAGGTGTTCCCATGGTTACAGCTGTGTTATCAGGGAAATCAACAGTTATCTTATTTTTACTGCCTGTATCTGTTGGAGTTGCTGTGTATGGGTGATCATGTGTCTGGTTTTCAGTTTCATCTGCAGTTTAAACAGAAGCTGATTTATACTTTAAAAGGTTTTTTTAGTCGAAACTATTTTGATAATTATTATTTCTCTTTTTTTGCAAATGAAACTTCTAGACAAATTCTCCCACTCAGGTTGGGATATAATGACTACCGAGTATATTTTAAAGGTATTCACATGAAACAACCTCATTATAAGATCCCAAAGGTTACCTGCAGGATTGTATTACTAATTTTGAGAATTTAGAGCATTTAACCCTCTAATTCTCCTGGCCATGATCGGAAACCTCACCCCCTTTCAGTCTTTCAACGCAGGTTGTGTCGGTAACAGGAATGGTTTTGCATTTTAATAAACATTAGGTAGAGCGATCCAGACCCAAATTGTACCCTTAAGAGATGCATCTACCAGCCCACAAGGCCAGTGGGAGGAACTTAGGTGGTTAAGAGGGCTGGTCCACTGTTCCAGCATTTATGCTTAAGGGGGAGGGGGGGTTCTCGGTGTGAGATTATGGCTGGGTGGGCCATGTCGGGCCAGCCCTGGCACACACTACATCGGAAGACCATGAAAGGGTTAAGTGTCTGAGGATACAGAGCGAAAGCTATTTATTGATTATAATTTTGGCATGAAGTGTAGTATTTTGTCTGTTGATGTACCCAGGATATATTTGTTATATTGTATGAGTGATTGTGTTGCTGATCTGGAGTAGAAGTTTTGATTGAATAATGAAAATTGGGTTTTGATGTGTTCGATCAGTCATTCTTCAAGAGATTTATTATGAATTATCATTCACTTCCTCATTTTAATTTAGAACACTGAAACTTGATAATGATATTGAAGTATCCATCCGAGTAACGTTAAAACCCACGTTTGATGTGTAATATTTTGGCAGTGTCATGGCAAACCTATGTATATGGACAGATTTTTAACAGGATTTAGATGCACTGTACAGATATATGTTCTAAAGAGGTAGGGGTGAATGTAATAAAACTAGTGAATCATTTAATTATTAGTTGAAAAGGAGCTAGAAATTTAAAATGCATTAGGCCTCCAACCTAGAAGTTTGACAGTGTAATAATGGGTTTTCTATTACTGTATTCGTCAAAGATTAAATCAATACTTCAGTTAACTTTCCCATACCTGAGTGGAGCTCTTGTTGTATGTCATTTGTCAAAATGACTCATTTGCTTTCAGTTAGCATTGTATTAATTCAGAGACATTTTTATTAGGTTATACAGTATATATATGGTATACCCTATATGAAGGTGTGCTTGGTATCTTTATCATTGTATGGCTGCAAATGATTATGTTATTGAGATTTATTTATGTTAATGCATTGGAGTACATCAGTTAGACTTTTACTTATTTATTTTAACAATTTATTAATTTTATCAGGTGCAGCAATTTTAATGAAAACTGCAGCGTCCACTGTATTTGCAAGACATTCATTTCCTTGATCTTTGTTTTTGTGAGAAGTTATATTTGTAAAGCTATATTTACTTTAAATTATTATTTGGTGGAAAAGGGTGAATGATTAAATTTGTCATGTATGAAACCATTCATGTGGGGGTAGTTTTGTTAAGTTCATTGAATGTTGAAAATGGTAGTTGTTACTTGTCAAGAAGACCCTGGGTAGTATTACACTGTGGGAGGCTCACTTCATAAGCATCTTTGATGGCAAGCTAAACAAGTCCCAGTCTTCACCTAACTTTTATCATAGGAGCCACTAGGACTGGGACTCACATGATCAGTTATTGTGCAGTCCAAAAATTATTGGGAATCTGGATTCAATATAGTTATTAAACTGATTTAGACCTTTTGTTTACTTAATTGAAATGATAACAGATTTGGCTTTTTGAGAATTTGGAACAATGCGAGGGAATATATCTCGTGGTGCTCTTTGAAGGTGGACTCCTCTCAGGGTAAACTCTTGGCCTTGGTCCATTCTCCATCCTCATGTGGGTTAAGTGAAGTTTTATCACAATGTTTCCACTGTATTTATGCTCTCAGGAAAACTACAACCTTTGGATAAGAGAGTAAATAAAACATTTTATATATGAAAGTATTTGACCGAATATTGGTATTTGTTAATAAAATTTAGACATCTTTTATGTATTTTGTATATTCCATTACGTACTGCATAAGCTTGTTCATGTGAAGAACCTGAAATCTTCATAAATCCATATTTTATAATTTGACATTCATTAGTTCGAATATTTTTGGAGATTTCAAACCTCAATGATATACTGTACTGTACAATATTTTGAATTACAGAGTATGAAAAATAACTTATGAAACATGCTACATGGTGTGTAGTGTCTTCTTGCCATGATGCTGGTAGTCAGCCTCCATCAACTAGCAGGAGTACAGTCCATCTCTCTTGACAACTTTTTTTCTCCTTTGGAAGCCGTAAGTGTATAATATTGTAATGTCTCCTAACAAAGGTCCTAGCACATATAGCTGTTAAGAAAATTGTATCAAAACCAAAATGAAAAAAAAAGTTAATCCATACTAAGTTGAAAGTGCTGGCTGCTCACTCCACAAAATGTGATGAGTTCAAGATAAGCACAAGTACTTCATGTAACCTACCTTAATGGCTGAATTAACCCTTTAGGGGCCAGCAGTGCACTTAGGTACAGAATTTTATTCAATTGAGAAAAACCCATGTCGTCTAAAGGGTTAAAACTTATCTTGATTAATCATTGTTGTTAAGCACTAATACTGCATGCAAAGCACTTGATAAAAATAGGTACTGTACAGTAAATTTTGCACTGACTTTGTCAGCTGTGTCATACACAATTGATCAATATTTGGAATTTGCCTTTAATTGGGGCTCTAATTACTCTGAATTATGGAGGTAATTTTGGGGCAACAATATTGTTCTCACAAAATGTTTGTACTGTACAGTACTGGGCATAGGATCTATATAATATTGTATGCTGATTAAAGATTTGGCATCAGATTATTTCATGGTTAAAAAAACTCCTAACAGTCTGGCAGACATGTAACAGACATTGATCCTACACTAATTAAATTATAACAAAAACAATACTCACCACATTAATAATAAGCCACTTAACTATGTCCAACTTCATCTCCAGAGAAACAGTCTTCCTCAAAGCCTTGCCGAGCCATTTTTAAAGTTGCAGTTACTTTACACTGATCACTTACGTCACCAAAACATAGCAAAATCTGAGCGATAATGTTTTCCTCTCCCCAATAACAGCAAAGTATCACAGCGATCACAAGGTTACGCAACAATTAAAAACGATAACATTTGTTACATGAGCTAGGGCAGATGCGATCACCTTGAAAAAAAAAAAACGTGAGACAGTAGGTCACATGGATTTTGCGTAACGTAAATCGCGATGGGGTGCTAAAACCAAAATGTAAATTAGACTATCGTAAATCGGGGATACCTGTATTAAGATTTTGTCTATACAGCTGCTCCTCGACTTACGATGGGGTTAGGGACCCAAATCTAGGTCGTAAGTCGAAAATGCTTAAATAATACATAGAAAATCTAAATGGGTCTCTTTTTCTTCTCGACACCACAAAAATCTCACTTTTAAGCTTGCCAGCCATTTTATAGTGAATTACAAACGAAAATTTTGTCAGTACACAGCGCAATCGCTAACGTTGGGACTCAAAAATACGTAATTTGACAAAATTTGGGTATGACTGAGGCGGTTGTGTGTCCGGGTGGTCGTAGGTCGAGGATGTCGAGGAGTAGCTCTACTGACATAGATAAACTGGTGCTAGAACAGAAGGCAGCAAGTGTTCAAACTTGGCTGAGACTGCCAAGTTCCCGAGCCTAAGACAATGTACGCATGCAGTGACGTTATGTTTCACACTGCCTTTTTTATTAACAGATGTTACACTTGTTATTGTGCTCACCATTGATGCATGTTTTCTTGCCCCTTTGAGATATTCCAAGTCTACAGATAATGATAATTAATCAACCATGTTTTGTATATCATTACAGTAATATGCTGAGAATTTCTAAATCAACCAATTACAATGAGAGCTGAGCTACATCCTCATCTGGCAGAATTTTCACCTTTAAACTACAGTACTTCAATAGTGTGTCTGTGTACAAAAGTTGTTTAATAGTGTGTATATACTGTACAGTATATGTGTATAGAGATGTTAATAGTGTGTGTATGTGTGTACAAAAGATGTTAGTAGTGTGAACAGAGATGTTAATTGTGCGTGTGTACAAAAGACATTAATAGTGTGTACAGGCATGCTTACATATTTCACAAACTTATTTTATTATTCTCTATCTGACAATGTGGCATCATTCTCCCAAAATCATCACATAACTTACTCCTCAGTCTTACTGGGGACCGGTAGACTCATCTCCACTGTACAGTATTCTGTATTCTTAAGTTTCATGTGGTAATTCTGTTCAATAAAGGTGTCGAGTTGAAGAAAAGTTTGGAGGTGTGGATATTGCCGGCAACACAGAGCGAGAGTGTAACGTCATCTGATTGAGAGCAGCATTTGCACAATGGAAACAAAGCAGCGGGATTTTAGGATGGCACAGTAACTCATCAGAGGTAGTGTGAGTGGTATTTTTTTCATAAAAAACATATGTACAATTATACTGTATATGAACATACAGTTTGCTTATTAAACAATGCTTCTTGTACTGTATTGCAAATGAATCAAAACCCATAATATGGGTTTCAATTCCAACAATATGATTCTCATTATTTATAAAATGAATAGGTTTAAGAACCTATTGCGTGGAAAGAAACAAATATGTAGAATGTGCACAGGTCATAGACCCATGACTGGATAGTAAAGGTTAAAAAAATGACATTGAAGCCTATATTTAAGGTACTAAAATCCCCGATATGAGGCTCCGTTGTTTATTGACAATTTAAGCGAGACTGGTATTAGATTTTATTTGTTTACACATGCCGACAGGCCAGAATTGTCGATTGAATATTTATAATAAATATTAAATTTCTTTGCATACAAAGCACATAGAAATTGATTGTTATATGCTATTTTTTATTAACCTCACCTTTCATGCCCTGTAGATAGAGATAAAGGAAAAATAAAATACTTAGTAAAATAAAGTCATATCGCTTTTATTAGTTAATATCATCCAAAAACTGTGTGGAAAGGTATTATTGCTGTTTCGGCCAATACACAGCCGACTGTTTTAACCATACCCCCACCCTTTAGATCTCCTTATTTGGAGTATTTCAACCATGGGACAAAAAATAATAATGTCAGAAATGAGTTTTAAAGTTTTTCCATACTTTTTATTTAGGGGGGGGGGAGTAACTCTAAAACGGGTACTTTACCCTGGAAATAAAGGTCAAATTCGATTAAATCACATCAAAATACACAGGATAAACTAATTTCTAAACTACTAGGGCATATTGGCCGAAACTGCAATTTTACCGTGGAAAATATGAACAAAATATATAAACACATTCGGTTGCTAATTGTCTGCTCCATTTTACCCTCAGTTGGCTTACTTACCTCTCAGCAGCCGCTATCTGCTTCTCTCTGTACCTCTGATTCATCCAACATTTCCTCAGTTCCTCGACCGTCCTAGGCACCAATACTATCCTTGTTTCAGCATTAAACAATAAAGTAATCCTCTCCCAAGATTTTCTCTTTTCGTCCAGACTGTGTGCCTTAATATCTCGACACTTCAACACATTTCTATCCCTGTCAATAAGCGAAAAAAGCAAAATTTTCTCGTGTTCACTGAAATTCCGCCTCTTGGATACGTTGGACCTCATGTCGGCCATTGTTTGTTTACAAATTGTCAGCTGTACACATTGTTTTGGTCTTTCGAGACGCTGATTGGCTAGCGGGAAAGACAGTGGATAGTGATTGGCTGATGGGGGAGATAGCTTGGATGGTGTTTGCGTGATGCTCTGACGTGGGAATATGTTTAAATTTTTTTATTATTAATTATCAATTTAGTAGCCGTTCGGGCGGTTGGTCTGTTCGTTACTGTGTTATGAACTTTATTGTCTTGTGATAGTACAGAAGGAAACCTGCAATGTTTGGTAGGGTATGTGTCCCGGACTTGTGAACCCAGGACTTTAAATGAAAGATACCTGTTACCGCTGTTGCTATACCTACACTTATCAGTTTACTAGCCACTCGGGGAGTTTTTTTTTTTATATATATACAACCAGGGGCGGATCTAGGAATATCAAAAGAGGGAGGATCCAAGAAGTTGTGGGTGTGGGTGGAGGAACATGGTGAGCGCAGCAAGCCCTCCCAGTTGGGAGGTTTTTGGGGGGCGCTGTAAGCCCCCCACCCCCAGATCTTTATTATATTTTTTTTTTAAATTGACCAATATCATGGGGATTTTGAAGCCATGCGCACTTGATATCAGGAGATATTGTGAGGTCAATAGAAAATTGTGACCAAGTCCCAGGTTACTGTGTTTTGTGTTTTATCCTCTTCGCCACTGATCGGCTTGTTAGCCGCCTGGGCGATCGGTCACGTCTCTGATTACTTTTCCTTTTCATATATCTTCTTCACCAAAAGATCGGCTCGCTCGCCACCCGGGCGATCGGTCATGTCCCTGTCACGCACTGTTGGCAAATACTGGGCATGCACCGGCTCCTGAATGTACCTGAACCCACTCCAGTGTTGGTCAAGTCTTCTCTTGAAAGAGCTTGTAGTGGACTTCTCCCCTACAACTGCGTAGCCGCAGCCACCAGCTGCTACCATCTTCCCTAGCAACCAAACTAGCGGCCCAGGCAGCGGCGTCACCAGATGCCGCAGTATCTTAGCAACGGAACCAAAGACCGGCGACTTTCTCGGGTTTTCCCAACATGACTCATAGATGACTCACGGCTGCTGGGTATATAAGCTCTGTCTCTCCATTGAGATTCATTCTGGCCAAACTTCCTGAACAAGCAACACCTCCTCCTTCGCCGCTGCCTGGCGGCCCTCGCCTGCCTGGCGGTCCTCGCTCCCGCCAGCGAGCATGGCGACCCACCAGCTGTCCTTCTCTGAGCGTCCTCACCAACCAGCCCTTTCATTCTGGCCCATCTTCCTGAACACGCAACACCTACTCCAGCAAGCTCCTCGCTGTCCAGCATTCATTCAACCAGGAGGCCAGCAACAGGCAACATCTTCTCTAACAAAGCTCCTGCACATCTACCTCCTTCAACACGCTACTCACCGAACGTCTCAACTGAGCAGCTCCTCACCACACGGCACCTCCAGCACCAGACTGTCTATCATATAACTTATATTATATAAGAAAACCACCTTAGAGTTTCCATCCATCCTGAGTGCTAGACAACATTATACCATGAACACCTACAAGCTCACACTCGGTGCCGTCACAACACTCTCTGGTAGATTGTTCCAAGAGTTTACGACCCTCACTCCGAAAAAGTTTGCCCACACAGTTTTCTGGACTTTCGGCTTCTTCAATCTTGAGCTGTGACCCCTTGTGGGGCGAGCGTCCGCCAGCTCCAAGTAAGGACACTCAATTGAGTAGTGCCCTCTGAGATGCTTATACACCTCAACTAGGTCCCCCCCTTGCCCGTCTGAAGTATAAGCTAGGCAAGTTCAGGCGCTCCAATCTCTCAGGGTAGCTGAGGTGCCGAAGTGCAGGCACCAGTCTGGTGGCCCTGCTTTGAACATTTTCAACCAACTGACAGTCCCTAGCATATCTCGGGGACCAGATGGGGTGACAGTACTCCCGATGGGGAAGCACTTCACTCCTGAAGATCGTTACGAGGGACGGACCGCCTAGATATCTGAACGACCTTCTTATAAGACCCAATGATTTATTTGCCTGATGTACCTTCCGCTCGCTGACCTGACTTTCTGCCTCATTTACACACAATTGCAGGGTCTCAATTGTTTCTCAGACTTTGACAGCACTACTTATATCTATTGCTTCTCACTATTGATTTTTCTTAAATTTTACAATAATTATGGTTCTTTATTATTATTATTATTATTATTATTATTATTATTATTATTATTATTATTATTATTATTATTATATATCTTCGCCCCTAGGCCCTGATGTGGGTCATTGAACTGTGCCCGTGTGGGCTAATCCCCTTAAAAAAACCTTTTACTATACTAAAATGCCTGGGTACATTACTGCATTAAAGAAAGAGTATTTGAATTTTCTGGTGATAAGGGGGGATCCGGACCCCCCTGGATCCGCCCCTGACAACATTCACTGTCCAGGAGAATTCCAGAGAAAACCTGCGATGTTTGAACGATTTAAGTCACATTGGACCCGGGCCTTATAGAGGATTGAACCCAGGACGCAAAATGAGAGGTACGACCTGTGTTCTGTAAAGTATTCAGTAAAATTGTCGTACTCTTTGGCTTCCATAAGAGGTTTTTGAGACCTCTCCTCAAAAGGTATATGAGAAGTGATGTGAGACGTCTATGGGAAGTGGACAAGAGATGTTTTAATTTCAAGAGTAATTTAACGAGCCACAAAAATTCATCGCCATATTAGTAGTTATCTGTATAATTCAAGTGTGCAATAATCTGTCTCGGCAGGAGGACTATTGCTGACCTGTGTACCCACGTGTAGTATCAGTGAGTGAGGAGAGTGGAGGCCACGCTGCAACTGTGTTGGGAACACTAACACCTGCCCACTGTTACCAAGGCCAACTGTCACAATGAACAGTGATACAGGGCGCACTCTTCCTGCCTGCGATAAACAGAAATAACTACCTTTTTAAAATAAAAATTTCCGTTGGAGTCTTTAAACTTATAATCAGGCTGTTTTATATCTTTGTAAATATATTTATTTTCCATTTTTTGTATTCAGTGAGGCGAGGCAGTTAGGGCGTGAGAGTATTACTGTACTTGCCCCCTTCACGATTTCCATCAGGACGATCACTTGTTTTATGCGATTTAACCTAACCTAATCGTCTTGTGGAAGGGAAAATATCGCATAAAACAGACGATCGTTTATAACTACGATGGAAATCGTCCGAGTAGGATGACACAGTGTGAGGGAGGAGGTGTGGTGGTGGAGGAGGGCAGGTGTGTCACTCCCACACCCGCCTCACTACTTAAACCAAAATCATAAACAACTACGAGCTACACAGGTGAGAACTCGTTCACAGGTCTACTTAAATTCTGGACCATACCTGTGTCTATATACAGTATCTACTTTTACATAAATGCCATGTGAGTTGGGAGAGTGATCAAACTATCTATGGTGGAAAGTGTTGCTTGTTATATCGTGTTCTCACAAGCACACAGTCGTGTTGGTGACAAGGCCTATTAGTGGGAAGGTGAGGATCACCTACAGTCCTACACAGATTGATTAAAGGTGTTTGTCATATTTACTGTAAAACTAGCAACTCATTTGTTGCGTTTTAGTTACTTCCTTTCCAATTAGATATTACAGTTAGTTTTTACAGATCATACTTTAATTCGTGCGCATGAAAGTCTATCAACAGCACACTCACAACAGTACCAAGTTTACCAACAATAACAGTGCAACAATAACAGGGATTAGTGATACTTGGAGTAGTAACTAATGAAAGTATAAAGTTTCAATTATATTTCTGACCGTGTTGATCATCAGAGCAAGAAGAGTGAGACAAGACACTTAACGGGACTATGAAGGTGCTGCTACTAGTCGGGGTACTGCTTGCTGCCCACGTCTACTGCCTCCTGGCTGACCCTTACATATACAGGTCAGCACCTTTATGTCACTAAGTCAACTTTTCATTCACTCAGTTTATTAAAATGTGAATTGGTAGTAAGCAGCTATCAAACAGGGAGGTACTACCGCCTGGGAAGATATTGGAAGCATAATGTGTTGTCTAATGGTAGACACTGCTGCCATATGGCATCACGAAAATTGTGACCAAGTCCCAGGTTGCTGATCTGACTTTCTGCTTCATTTACACACAATTGCAAGGTCTCAATTGTTTCTCTTACTTTGACAATACAACGTACATAATGTTTATCATTTCTCATTCTTGATTTATGTTTTCGATTTTGTATTTATTTATGATTATGATTGTTTAATATATTTTTTTTTAGTATTTTGTTATTAATATTTATTAATTATTATTATAATAATAATAGTTATTATTATTATTATTATTATTATTATTATTATTATTATTATTATTATTATTATTATTATTATTATTATTATTATTATTATTATTATTATATTTTCGCCCCCCAGGCCCTGATGTGGGTCAGTGACCTGTGCCCGGGTGGGCTTATCCCCAAAAAAAAAAGGTGGGAAACCGAAGGAGGTAGAGTCCACTGGTGGGCACTGGGCACATTGCATCACTGTGTTCCGAAGGCTTTACGTATACGTGCTGGAAGACCTATGGAACTCACTATCCCTTTTTTCCTGGTACCTAAGGTTTTGGTATCAACCATGTGTCAGTTTCCTCATATCCCGATACTCCTTGTAACTGATGTCTCTAGCCTGTCGGGTACTAAGTCAATATCCGTGAGTAGTAATTATTATTATTATTATTATTATTATTATTATTATTATTATTATTATTATTATTATTATTTTACAGTGTTGAAGAAATCTATGAGGTCGACTACTTTGACTATGAGGAAGACGATGCAGAGGCAGAGGAGGAGTGGCGGGTGGAGGACCTGGACGAAGAAAGTGTCGGCTGGATTGGTAACATCATCAGGGACGCCATTATAGATATACTGGAGGATATAAGGTAAGCAAGGACGCCATTATAGAGATACAAGAGCACATTATACCTTTATAAACACACTGTGGGCCTCAACGTCAGTTCCTATTGGTCAGAGAAATTCCAACAGTATTTGTTCATGCACACACACACACACAACACACACACACATATATACCGTATATATATATATATATATATATATATATATATATATATATATATATATATATATATATATATATATATATATATATATATATATATATATATATATATATATATATGTATATATAATTGCCAGGATTGTTTTTCTTCAGTAATGTCTTTTGTTATTATAAGTTAAATTGGTATCATAGCAAAAATACGTAAGTCTCGGGAATAAAGTCGAATTATGAGAATAAGGAATAAAATGTATGAATCACAGGAGCAGAGTATAATTCTAACAATTAGCTGAAGTAGTGATTTTCAGGTTGTAAACTTATAAGTCACAACTAAGGAGTAACTATAGGATAGGAAGAAAAAATAGACCTCAATAAAGAGAAGGAAAACAAAATGTAGTAACCAGGGGAAGAATAAAGTGTAATTAGGATAACTACGAGGACTAAGGAGAAACATATTATACACTGTGTCTGTGTGTGTCTCAGGGAGGGGATGGTGACGGGCTTCCCTGAGTTGGGCATCCCTCCTCTTGACCCTCTGGTGATTGACTCCATCCCTTACAATGTCTCCTGGGATAATAATACGTGAGTATCTCTGCCCCCTCACACCTCACCTGTGCCTCCACCTCCTCACCTCTGTACCTCTTGCACCTCCCTTGTACCTCCACCTTCTCGCCTCTGTACATCATGCACCCAACTCTTCACCTCACCTGTATCTCCTCACACCCCACACCTCACCTCACCTCACCTCATTTTCATCTTCCTTACCAGTACAGTATATGACATCATTTACTTGACGGTCATGTAAGTAAAAGGGATTTGGCCTTTTAAACATTTACTGTATTCAAAAAGATTATTTTTAATTATAATTCTTGTTTCATTTTCTTATTCTGATACAATCTGGAATGAAAGCATTCGGATATGACCAACTGTAGACGAATCACAAATATGACTCACATGTACTGTAAATTTGGTCACATATATATCATAATATGTACCAACTTCTCTTGTTTGTTCCCCGTGTAGTACTCAACCATGTCACGTGTTAACACCAGTATTCTTGTTACAGGGTGTACGGGAACATGTCAGGCTCCGAGTTAGTGGACCTGGCCACCTTCCAGACAGCCAAGGTAAATAATAACAACACAATTTATGGTACACCTGAGAATGATATCTTCGGTCAACATTCACATTTTTGTTGGTGTCATTTTAAGTTTAGCAAATGTCAAAGGTAATTATTGTATGAATTTATTTTATTTTATTACAGTGGTGAACTTTAATTTTTTGGCCAATATAAAGAGTTTTATATTGATTTTGTTATTACTTTATATATATGTGTGTGTGTGTGTGTGTGTGTGTGTGTGTGTGTGTGTGTGTGTGTGTGTGTGAGTGTGTGTGTGTGTGTGTGTGTGTGTGTGTGTGTGTGAGTAAACAAGAACTACATGTAAACGTAAAACATAATGAAGTGTTTCCCTGCGACAGGTGTTGGTGAATGTATTTGGCCTCAGTGTAGACATCGGCCTCCTGCTGGACGCCCTTGAGCTGCATGGGGCTTATGTCATGGACGGCCGCGCCCTCGACCTCCACGTGTTTGGTGATGGTGCCTATCAGTACGTAGACCCAGTACTATGACACACACACACACATCCAACTTCCTCAGAATTATCATTTAAATTAAGGTTAGATTTGGGTATGAAAGATTACACAAGGTTAGATTAAGCCGGGATAGGTCAGGTTAGGTCAGGTCATGTCACCACCATCCCACTTTCTTTATCTCACACCACCAACTCATATTTTCTGTATCTTCTCCTTCCTCATAATCACCTCGAGGCCTCACCTTCACCACCTTCCCTCCACAGTATCAAGCTGAATGAGATCACCCTCTCCTTCTTTATGAAACTTGGACTGGGGAAGTACGTGTCTGTGAAGGAAATGACAGCTGACTTCACACTTAAGAGCTCTAAAGTAAGTTTATTGGCTGACTTCACACTTAAGAGCTCTAAAGTAAGTTTATTGGCTGACTTCACACATAAGAACTCTAAAGTATAATGGCTGATTTTACACTTAAGAACTCTAAAGTAAGTATATTGTCTGACTTTGTACTCATGAACTCTAATGTAAGTGTGTTGACTGACTTCACACTTATAAACTCTAATATATGGTGACACCGATATTACACTTACATTGTGGACTCGAACAATGCTTTCTGCTCACTCACCTTCGAATGAGTCAACAGATTTAAATTTCTTCAAAGGAGCAATTTCTGGGTCGAGAGTGCCCAAAGCAAGTACTGTTATCTAATCACTATCTTTGAAATAGTTGAAATGTTACGATGTTAAATAGGCAAAATGCACACACACACACACACACACAGCGAAAACTAACAGCCCAAGGAGACACATACCTCAGAGAACCCACGTAACGGAGGTGTGGTGGTGGTCGCAGGTACAGTTCGAGCACCTGATGAACGGCGGCATCACCGGGGCGCTGATCAACGAGGCACTAAGTGTGGAGCTGCCCAAGGTGCTGGGGGTGATGGAGAACTTGGTGATACCTCCGCTGATGGACCTCCTTCAGAACCGCACCAACGAGTTCCTCCGCCAGTACCCCATCATCCCGGACTTCAACATCACCGACATCTACACTGATTAACTTGATGGTGGTATACGGTACACACGACACCATCCAAGGTACAGATAAAGAGTCGTTCTACCTCTCTTTCTCTGTACCTTGACACCTTTATGGTAGATTAAATCCAGGTCAAAAGATTTAGTTGTGTTTAGGGATGGATAAGTTTTACTTTAGGAAATAAATATGTGAAAAGTAACATCATTAACGCATAAACTAGCCTATTGTTAGTTGTTACAGTCTCCATTAATTGTATATAATATATTCTTTATTGGTCAAGATCAATTTAGTCGAGTAGAGGTTAAAACAGTCCACTGTACTTTGTGAAATGAATAAAATAAATGAATAGAAACATCACCAGGATAATGACTGACTAACCCTATACTGTTCTCATTGGTGACCAATCCCTAAGGGTGTGAGCTACCGTTACCAGTTGTTACGACCGTGTCGAATTTTTTCTATTTTTTTTATATATAACATGCTCCCATGTTCCATATTATTCCTGTAATGATGTTAAATTTACTACTATATATTCTAGTCACCTTACCCTGTGCTGTTAAGGTTTTAACTGTCATTATTTGTTCAAGCCCATCTTATTTCTTTATTTTGTATTGTAACCAGCATTCTTTGTTCTCTAACGACCATCTGCATCGTTAAACGACCCACCGGCGGGTCGCGTGGCGGGAGCCGACCTTATATATAGGACCCACCAACTGACTTGAGTTAGTTCAGTCCTCTTGTCATACAGTCCACATCCTTTGAGTGTTACTTGTTACTTATACTTAATTTATTTGTGTTGTTCCTGTCGCCACCAATGTGGTATATCTATGTGAGTACCTATTTATGTCTCTGTTTGTGTCCATCAGTATTTGCTTAGTTGTATTCAAGTAATTCAGTGTTGTTTCACGTTAGTTAATTTCAGTGATAGTTTTTATATGTTTATGCAGTGTTAACGTAATCCAATGCTTTATTTTTATTCTTTTGATGTTTCGATGTTTTGTATCACTTGTGTCTTAAAAGTTTCGATGGTGAATCAATTTGTTGTGACAGCCTACGAGGCTCTTTATTGTGTTAATATTTAATCAATTAAATTCTTAAAGGTTTACTTTATTTATTTTTATTCTCTTTTAATTTACTTCACTTTTTGTTTGGTTACGCCTAGAACCTGGATATTTAAGTAAATTAAGAGACGGCGTAACATATATATATATATATATATATATATATATATATATATATATATATATATATATATATATATATATATATATATATATATATATATATTTCATGTAAATCCACAATGAAAACGTGGATAAGATAAATCTTGATTTTATCAAGATATATATATATATATATATATATATATATATATATATATATATATATATATATATATATATATATATATATATATATATATATATCTCCAGCATATTACAGTATTGTAAGGTCAGGATTGGTGCCTATTAGGACTGGGTTAGATATGGGGCCTCTTAGGGATCGACTGGGAACCACGCGACAGCAGAAACTGGGTCGCTTGCCTTGACTTAACAGCTTTACTTATGGTGTTCTGTTGGCGGTGTGCACACTAGCAGCGGTCGTCGTCGGTGAGGTGAAGATGAGGAGGAAGGGAAGATGTGTAAGAATAGGAAGGGGGAGGAAGAGGAGTTGGCGCATGTCCTCGGCTACCTGGCTGCTCTACAGTAGTGGTGCTTCCTCCCTGTCACTAGCCATTGATTGATTGGTTGATGTTTAAATGGCTTCTGACTGGCAACATTTTAAAGTCTTCCACAGCCTCTCATCCTCGTGATCACTGGCGACTGCACTGTTGGCGTTGGTTTGTGTTGAAGCCTGTACAGCTGCTACTACTACTACTACTATTGCTGTTGTTACGATTACTATTGTTGTTATCAAGGTCTAAAATATTATTTTATCCTTGGTTGTTACTAGTACTATTGTTGTTACTTCTACTATTGTTGTTACTTGTACTACTATTGTTGTTACTTGCACTACTATTGTTGTTACTTGTACTACTATTGTCATTGTTACTACTACTACTACTACTATTGTCATTGTTACTGCTAATACAATTTGCTGGTGGTGCTGTTGTCAAATGCTGTTAATGGATAGAGAAAGAATTGTTTGATATTATTGGCTAGGTGGTTAAGTGTTAACATTATTTCGTGCTCGACTATAAATCAGAACCCGGATTCCGAGATTCGTTTGTCATTTTTTCTTTAACTAGAGATATATGAATACGCGTCATTACAGTAGAGTCTCAGTTGAGAGCGACACCATTTTATCTGATAATTTTGTTTGGTAGCTCAAGTTAGTCCGTTAAACGTGTTTCCACAGCCCTAAGTTACGTATGAGTGTTTGACATTGGGCAGTGAGCTCGTTGACTTTAAAATGTTATTACCGAGCTTCAACAGCTAAGGTCTTTAAGCGCGTACCGGTACATAAGGTTTTTTTTTTTTATTACATCAGTCCGTCAACAAAAGATGACCTCTCGTACGTCTATGGGAAAGGGTCGCGGAAAGGGGACGTGATTGCTGCCCGTATCATCATTGGCTATGACTTTGCTTGGGAGATTGGCATCCCCGCATCCCCTGAGCAACGCTCTTGTGCATTATGCAGAAGACCCGACAGCCGCACCCTTATCCACTACCTCCTAAGATGTCCCCACACACAACGCTTCCATGACGCCTGCTGGACCACCACTCCACGACCCCCTGACGGAGACACGATGATCCTCCCCATACTGGCCAGATATGTAAATAACATTAATTATGTGTTAAAGGAATATCCATCCTTCCTTAGGCTTTAATAAGCCCTTTATAATATTTATACTGTATATACTTGTGACACTTGCCAGATGCTTCTGGTGTTATTGTACAGGGGTACATAGTGACAGCACTAGGATCCCGCTTCCTCTATCAAGGAATAAACAATTGAAATTGAAATTGAAAAATTGAACAAAAGATGGTGATGTACTGTAGATTCGTGGCCACTCATATGATTAAGTTTTAATTGTGAAAATGCACTCTTACCCCATCTGTTGACAACTAACACAGACAGCCATAAATCATTTAAACCAGTTAATACTAACGCCATCTGTTGTAATGTAAACAAAATCTGCAACGGAAATTCATAAGGCAGGGTAGCTGTGTTGACCCAGCAATATGACGTCATCAGCGGGCGGAGTTTTGACATGGCCAAACAACCTTCTAACAAGTTACAACCTATCTACATGTACGGGGCCCCGCCCACTGAACCATATTTGCGGTTGGCAAAGAGCCGTTTTCTGTCAGTCACTAGCGGTGACAACACAGAGAATTGAACACTAAAAATATTTCATTTTTATTTGTATCTTGTATGTTGAGTGAAATGTTAAAATGAGAGACTAAAATGGATTTTCATTGATAACAAACTGGTCTAAATTGGGATATTTGTATAGTTAGTGAAATATTGTAGTATTATACCGAGATAATTTCTACTTTGAGGGATAGTTTTTTACAGAAAGCGAGACCACGTTGAACAAGAGAGACAGAGCCGTGAGACAGACACCGTTGACTATACACAGCAGTCATCATCAGATACAACTAAAACCAACACCATACACACAAGCATGGCAGCAGACCACCTATTATAACATCAACAACCTCGCCCTACCCTAACGATAACACTAAGTCTCTACGTTGAGGTTGGGTTAGGTAGTAGCTGGTAGTTAACACGTAACCTATTGTGGAATAAATTACGTAAACCGAACAAAAATTAAGTCTATTTTTACAATGTTTTAATGTTGATTTGATTTAATTGTTACAACATGTAAAAAAGCGAGGTCGTGAAATATACTGTACTGTACTAGGTTCCGGACTTAACTTTGGCAGCATTAGGTAACGATCAGCGTTATATACTGTACTGCAGGGAGTATAGTACAGTACGGTATTTCGTATGAGTTTTATTTAATGTTGGACTAATGTGATTATGAACGTAATTACGCCTCTCTCTTTCTCTCTCTCTCGCTCTCTCTCTCTGCTACATCATCAAACAAACGCGAAGACTTCACTTTAATATCTTGAAGGGGTTCCTTCTCATTATAAGTGTTCCAGTTGGTCAAGTGTAGCCTTTACCTTCTATTCTGCCACACATAATTTTGTTAGCCATCCTGTTGTTATCAGCCATCTCAGACAATATGACTATACCACACTCGATAGAATGAGCTGACCAGTGTCTAGTCTCAATGTAAAAGTGTGTCGTCTTCTCCAGTGATGTTCTTGAATTGTAAAACACATTCTGTCTAATATTTGGATCGGCGTCCAGGTGTCGCAGCCATACAACGCAACAGGTTATCAACACATTGTAGCTATATTCTTAATTTAATTGAAATGATATGTTTCTTCTTGTGATTTTTGTATTCAGCCATACACTCTTCCACTTGTAGATGCAACCGTGTAAAATGTACAATCACCAGTTAATAAGAACGAGTAGAATATAGTTTTAAAAATCATCAAAACTGTTGGAACATAATGTAGCTACAGTCAATATGAACCGAGACCCGTGAAGGTTAGTGCAGTAGCAGTTTATTATTGAGTTATCTTATGGAACATGTGGTTGTAGAGGGAAAACAGAAACTAAGCTCAAGGCAAATATTCTATCTCTCCACTTAACTGATATTATTTCTTCCAATATATAAATAAAGAAAAGTCTCTGTGGTCTTCAACACTGGAGGAGTAAAGTGAGGTGTTCAGTGAGAAAGAAGCCACGTTGGATGTGCTGTAGGTGTGAAAAGAATGATTGTACTTTAGGCTGAAATTTATGAAGATGTAATTAATTTTCAGGACTTTCGATTCCGTAATAGTTTAGGGTGGAAGGGGGTACGAGGGGCACTAGGGGGGAGTGGGTCATACAATACAGCTTTAAGAAAGAAGACTACTGTGCCTAACGTGGTGGTCCCCCCTTTAGATAATATAAGCCCCAGCTTGACTCAAATATTCAGCAAAACAATCCAAGAGCTTATTTGTTTATAGAGTAAAAAAAAACACCGTCCGGCGGGAAGTGGCGCCTCATCTAGTTTTTGTTTGTTTACACCAAACGTCATGGGGAGAGGAACACTCTACTGCCCCATCCTTCTCTTTTGGCCCGAATTCATTGTCATATTAGTATTCAAAACCTCGGATGTGGTGTAACAACGGCGAGAGGATTGTTGGGGGATGTCCCGGGTAGTTGTGGACAAGGGACCCAACAGTGGCAGGCCTCTCCTGCTCGACACAAGTGATTTTACACGTTGCCTCACAGCTAAGGGCAAGACCTGCCCGGGAATATCCTCTACCAGGAGAGGTGGCTTCAGCAGG